ACCCTGGGGCGTGGGGATGGGATGAGCAACCCCCCACCCCATAATTTATGCCTCCCATGGGATCCCATTTGCCTGAACCCCAGTGTTTTTCCCAGGAAGCCCCTTCTCCTTAATTTGGGGTACACTGGGGAGGTCCGAGCCCCCAGCATCACTGCACCTCAACTTCATCCTCGATTCCATCCTGTTGATGGGGTTTCTCTTCGAGTCCCCATTGAGGGACCAAGCCAGTGTCACACCCATTGGCATCATGAGCATTTTTGGGGGGCCAGCGGCTGGTGCTCAGCGTGGTCCTGGGGTGTTCAAAAATGGCCAAAGACCTCGCAAAGGGAACGGCACATTTTGGGGGATTTTGTGCCTTTGGGGCATTTTGTGCCTTTTTTCCAGCGGAGGAATCCTCAAGGACTATCTGTCCTGCTCAGACCAGCTCCGATCCCCCCGAGAAAAGCCGATATGTTACCGGGGTGCATCCAGGCACAGAACCCCTGAATTTTTTGGGGATGGATGATTGCTTTTTCCTTATGACCCTTTAGTTGTGCAACGGTGCTTATCACCGCTGCCAGCTCCCAAGATGTGCTGCCCTCACCCCATTGCTTGTGCAAGACTGCTCTTATGCATCACGACTTCTCTTTTTTTTGCAGATTTCTGAAAATATCCCAGTTCCCGTAAAATCCCCGGCCAGCTGAAACAGGGGCTTTTTTATGCAACCTGCTGAATTTGTTAAGATTAAGCGAGCGTTACTTTGCTTGGTGATGTAGGATTTTGTTGGGTGGTTGGCTTTTAGCTCCCTCTGTGAGAAATCTGTCTAATATAAATCTGATTTTTTTTTTTAATGGGACAGAAATCTGAGCAACGGGTTCACGCCCAAGGTGCTGGCACAGGGTGGATGCTGTGCAGAGGTGCTGCGTGGTGTTAATTCTAACCTCAATATTTAACCTTATTTAAGAAGAAGGAAGGGATTTGAATTGATCGGACACACAGAAGGTGGAAAAACCCCAAATGATTTAATTTGCTGCCTAACAAGGCAGAAAAATAGATAAAGCATGGAGATGGCATTGCTGGGGGCATCCATCAGCAGCAACGCCTCCGAATGGGTCCCTGCGTCTTGTAATGCTGATTTTTTTCTTTTCTTTTTTTTTTTTAAACCTTAAGCAGGATGGAGCCACTGTGTTTTCCCACCCGAAGCCTCGCAGTTTGGTTTGAAGCGGGTTTGCAAGGAGCTCACTTGAATTCCAGCGGGAACGCTGCTGCTGCTTCCCACCTGGATGTTAAACACACGCTTGGCTTCGTAATTCCTAACCTTGCCAAAAAATGCAGAGTTTGGAGCAAAATCCACCAAAGGCAGGACTCTTGGTTGTACTCAGCAGCTGCAGGGCCCAATCCTGCGCCTCGCTGACAACCAACTCCCCAAGTGAGGCTCGTGGACCCTCCTGGGAGCCTCCCTCTTGTCTCATCGTCCTAATTGCTAATTAGGAGAGGAAAGGAGTTGCAAAAGCCAGAGACCTCCTGAGATGTCTGCGCAGGGTCGGGACAGCCGGGGTGACGGCGGTGGGGAGATTCGGAGCGTTTCTGTGCCCGGGGATGTGCCCACATAGGGAGGATGCTCGGCGAAGGTGCAGCTCTGGGTGTTCTGCCGCGGTGGCTGCTGCGGAAAGCAAGAGCTGGAGCCTGACGCCCTCACCCAGAACCCTTACTAGGGCGAATGGGGGATCTATAGCCAGAGCTGCAGCCGGCGAGGCAAATTCCTGGGTGCTAAAAGCCTTCTGACACGTGCACGGTGCTACTTAGTTCAATTGGAGGCTGGAAGGAGGAAACCCCTTATCCGGGAAAGAAATTCAGAGTATTGTTCGTGTATTTGCAGGAAATAACTGCTCTGATGCAGAGCTCCCAGCTGGTTTAAATCTCATTAACGTTACCTTCATCTTGCTAACGGGCACGGCCGGGTGGGTTCGCCCTGGGTGGGAGATGACGGGTCAGGCAGACACCCAGCCCTCGGTTCCTCTTTCCTCGTGCTCTGTGTCGTGGTGCTGCTGGGTTTGCTGGAGGAGCTTCCCCCCTGCCTTGCAAGAAGCAAAATATCCCAAAAGTTTTATACTGGAATTCCTCCGGGGCTGTGCACACATCCTCCATTTGTAGGAGGGAGAGGAGGGAAATCGCCCAGCCCTGCTTCTCCCTCCCTAAGAGCAGCTTCGTCACGTTTGAAACAGTCTTGTGGCAAAGGGCTTGGGGACATCGTCCCTCTTGGAGGGGCTTTTTGCTGTGCAGGGGCTGTTTGGGGTTTGTTCCTAACCCCGGCAGAGGGTGGGAGGTGCAGGGGGGGATACGGGCTGGGAGGCAGAGGGGTCTCGGTGGGGTCGTCGAAGTTGGACGTTGGGTTTTTTTGCTGGAGGAGCCCAGGCTGCAGTGATACGGATGAGGTTGGGAGTACGGTGCCGTTGATCTTAAGCCTAACGTGTTGTGTGTGTGATACGGGCATCTCACTCCAGGACAACCCAGGGTGCAGAAAGCATCAGCCAAGCCTGGCTTAATGTCCTTCTCCTCTGTGTCTCCTTTTTCAGACTAAAGGACCTGGAGGTGGCCGAGCTGGGGGACTCCGACGTCCACATCAAGATGTTGGCAGCGCCCATCAACCCCGCCGACATCAATACGGTCCAAGGTACGGCGCTGGCTGCATCTTTTTTGTGTATTCCTTCTGGAGATGCTCCCGGTGGGATGTCTCGGGGGGTTTGGAGCCGGCTCCTGGGACAGGGAGGGCTGGGGTATGACAGGCTGCGCAGCTCACCCCCGGCTTCCCGGCAGGGACTTACGCCATCCTGCCCCCGCTGCCGGCCGTGGGAGGGAACGAAGGCGTCGGGGAAGTGCTGGAGGTCGGGCGGCGCGTGGCGGGTCTGAAACCCGGCGACTGGGTCATCCCGGCGATCACCGGACTGGGTGAGTGACCCCGGCATCCTCGGCACTGCCGGATCCTCCCCCACGGCAGGTCCTCCTCTGCATCCCCGGAGCATCTTCCCAGGGGATTCTGAGGATGCTCCAGCCCGCCGGGAGCTGCCCAAGCTTTGTGGCGGGGCAGAGAGTGAACCCATGGTCATGGCCTCGTGCAAACGGATGCTTCGGGAGCTGGCGCAGGGATTTTGGGGGTCCTGGGGCAAAACTGCTCCTCTCCAAAGCACCGTCTTTGCTGAGTGTGGGTAGAGCCACGTGAATCTCCCACTTACAGCAATTACATCTAATCACATGTGGCTTAAAGTGAAAAAAAATGCACCGTTAGGGAGTGTTCCGGGCGAGGGAAGCAGCAGTTGGAACCCCTTTAGTCCCGTATTGGCCCAATCATAATGGGCTGGATTGTCCTGGACAAGAAGCATCGGGAGCTGCACAAAGACCTCTTCATTTCTTACCTGTTTATATCTTGGTATAAGATTTATTCTTTCTGCCATGTATTTTTATTTTTAAATTCTTTTTCTTTTTAAAGCAAGCTTGGTACCTGATCCCCAGCCCCAGCGGTGATGTTGCTGGTCCTCTGCAGATGCAAGGAGTCCCTGGGGAAGGATGGGGGTCCCGTGGGGGACACATGCCATGCAAAACCACGGAGCACTTGCAAGAGGAGCGGTAGCGATGCCATTGCTTATGCTAAACTCAGATTTAGAAATAATCGACTTTTCTGTAGCATAGACCCTTTATGGGGCTTCTGCCCCGTTCCAAAGCATCGCAGCAATCTGTGCTTCTCTGGAAACAACCAGGTTTCATCACATCTACTTAGAGCTTCTTTCAAGACCCGAGATAAAGTATTTAACCTCCGCAAGGTCGTGGTTATATCTCATTACAGTTTTCTCCTTAATAGTGCTCTGATGGGAAAGCAGGAGAATTTATTTCCCAACAAATCTCTCTCGTGCTCCTTCAAAATGCCAATGGCCAGAAAAATTGTCAGTTCTGCTTTAGCGTAACAACCTGTTCCTTGCCTGTTTCTTCTTAAAAGGCTTTTGCACTTAATGGGAGAAGGAAAGCTATCTAGTTAAGATCCAAACGTGATATTTTTAAACATTAAGAAAACAAAAAAGTAAATGGGTGATGGGGGTTAAATGGGATAGAAATATAGAGGGAGTCAATCTCACTGAACTGGCTTTGAATCCATGGGCTCATCCGTGGGGTGGGGAGTGTTCCCATCAGCTCTGCACCCTCCCTGCACCCAGGGAGCCCTGGGCCCGTTATCCCTCTGGGAAATGATGAGGCTTTGCTGGGTGATACATCCTGGTGGGCAGCGGGGGTCCAGCCCCTGCCTCTTGCAATATTTTGGCTGTACCCATGTGGGAAAATGTTTCATAATTCACTCTCCAGGATTTAGACGGTGCAAGGCTATGGTGGGGGTTGATGTCTCGTGATGTTTTCCTTTCCCTGCCCTCCTTTCTGCCCGCCGGTACCCCAGGGACGTGGCGGACGCGGGGGGTGTTCCCCGAGGAGATGCTGCTGAAGGTGCCCAGCGACATCCCGGTGCTGTGCGCTGCCACCCTGAGCGTCAACCCCTGCACGGCGTACCGCATGCTGGCCGACTTCGAGACCCTGGCACCAGGTACGGCTTGGAAAAAAAAATCCAGGTGGATTTACCAGCTGCTTCTGCGACAAAAATCTGGATTTATTTATCCGCAGGTGACTCCGTCATCCAGAACGCTGCCAACAGCGGCGTGGGTCAAGCCGTTATCCAGATCGCCAAAGCCTCTGGCATCAAGACCATCAACGTGGTGAGGGACAGGTGGGTCCCCTGGGAGGGGAGAAGGTCTCCTGCGGAGCGGGAGCTGCCCTCGGCACCGGCTGGAGGCTGGCAGGAGGTCAGCCAAGTTTGGGGGCAGGCTCTGGTTGTCCTGTCCATCCAACTGAGGATTTTCCCCCCGTAGTTCAGCTGCACCCCCCCTTTGCTCCTCCAAGGTGTCCTCCAGCCTCTGCCCTGTTGTCCCCGAGCTATGGCTGAGCAGGAGGAGAAGGTGACACTTTGCTTTCTGGTTCATCAGGTGTTTTTGTTTTTTTAACTCCCCCAGACCTGATCTCCCAAAGCTGGTAGAGAGACTGACGGCCCTGGGCGCAGACCACGTCGTCACGGAGGAGATGCTGAGAAAGCCAGAGATGAGGGATCTGTTCAAGGTACCTCAGTGCTGATCCCACCGGGGACACCATCCAGGGCTGGCCCTGTGGTTCAGCGCTGCGGGGAAAGGTGCAGGGATGGTGGGAAGGACCAATCTCTCTCTAGATCAGGATTTAGCCCCGGAAATTGAGGGGTTTTGGTGTTACCGCAAGGGCCAGGTTGTAGATTTTAGCTTGACAGCTCTTAGCTGCCCCCAGGTAAATGTTGAGGTTTAAGGCAGTTGCTTCCTCAAGAACCACTATCCCATCCTCAAAAGGAGCCCTAAAATTTGGGAACCTTCTTAATAAATTCTTGCAGAGCATCCCGAAGCCCCGGCTCGCCCTGAACTGCGTCGGAGGCAAAAGCACCACGGAGATGCTCCGGCACCTGCAGTAAGTTTGGCTGGGTGGTGGCTTGGGGACAGGCTTGGGGACAGCGGGTGGTACCAGGGGGTCCTGCTCCAGAGCCCCCCAAGCACGGGAGGTGCCTGGAGATGTTGTTAGCTGATGTTGGCCATCGCTGAAGTTTTGGAGAGGGGAGATGAGTGGAGAAGAAGTGGTTTGGGAAAATAGCAGTGACTTGAAGTTAAACCATTGTCACCGCACGTCACGAACGCTGCTGGTGTCTGGATGAGGTTGACTTATGGAGGTCCACCAGGTTCTGGCCAGGTCTAACTGGTGTGTTTAGCTGCAAATTCAGCTAATGGTGCATGGGAGCGAGAGGGGAGCTCTGGAAAGCAGAGCCTGAGGGATAACTGGGGGAGCTCTGGTGTGAGAACAGACCGGTCGGCATGGTGCTGAGTTTGGGTACGGCAGAGGAAGAGGGTGCATGGTCAGAGCCACACGTTGGGGACCGTTAACCAAACACCCCCTTCCTCCTCCAGGCCCAAAGGGACCATGGTCACCTACGGGGGGATGGCAAAGCAGCCCGTGATGGTGCCTGTGGTGAGTACTGGACATGTTCCTGATTTCCCTCGGGGCGTGTCCCCTGTGCTCCGCTGCGGATGTCCCCGTCCCCTTGGCTCCTGCTTGGAACCATGGAAGCTCGGCTCTCCCTTGCCTCCAACCTTCTTATTATTAAACTGATGGGTCCGTTATGGGATGAGCTGCTTTGCATCCTGGTGCGGGTCTCTTGGCTTTATTTATGGAGGATTTGGAGGATTTCCCCAGCAGGGAAATGGCCACTGAGCATCAAACCCACCCTGACTCCACACTTTGGAGTCACATCTCCACATCCTGCTGTGCCCTGACTCACAAATGAGAGCGCTAACGAAGGAGCGAGGAGCCTCGCTGCCACCTTCTGCTGCTGTCACGCTGGGAGGGGACAGGCGGGTCTCACCGGTTCCCTCTCTCCGCAGAGCGCCTTCATCTTCCGCGACGTGCGGCTCCGCGGCTTCTGGATGACGCAGTGGAGGAAGGACCACGCGCAGGGTGAGCCGGGGATGGCATCGCTGCGGCGGGTTGGCAGAGGGACGGGTGCCAGACCACCACGCCAGTGCCATTCTCTTTGCCATTACTTGTGTCACAAGTGCTGCTAGTCCTCAGAGTGGCTGACACGCAGGCGCTGGGTGGCGTGGCGTGGGCAGGGACAGCGATGTGCCACCATGCCGGGGGCTCCTGCCCCATCCCACATGCCTGATCTGGGAGCACATCACACCCTGGCATCCTCAGGACCCTGTATGGCATCAGGCAGGGGACAGTTGGTGGCTCTGGCATGGGACGCGCGGGGTGAGAGCTCGGTCCTTCCCTTGCAGACCCGCAGAGCCTGGCCAGCATGATGGACGCCTTGTTCCAGCTGATCCGGAGGGGACAGCTCACCGCACCCGCCTGCACCGAGGTCCCGCTCCAGGACTACAAGGCAGCACTGGAGGCCACCATGAAGCCCTTCGTGTCCTCGAAGCAGATCCTCCTCCTCTGACCCACAGCTTCTGGGTGGCAGCGGGCTGAGCCCGGTGCTGCTCTGCCACGGCCGAGCTTTCCCCTTCTGCTTGTCTGCAGACAAGAGACGGTCGGGAGGGAAAAACCCTCTAGATCCATTGATTTTGGGATTTTATTTTTTTTTTAACTTTTGGATGCCCACTTGAAAGTTTGAAAAGCCTCTGCAGCTTTGCACGGACGGCAGCGTGCGCGATTGCTTCAGGAGGGATGCTGCAGTCCCACTTTAGCTGTGCAAGTTTTCCTGCAACACAAAGCTCAGGGAGCGCAGGGACGGCCGCTCGTTCTGCTCAGGGTGTCAGAAGAGCAGCAGTTCTTCCTCCAGTGTGGTTTTGGGGCTGGGGTGGGGACTGTGCTGCCGCCTCCTGCCTGGTTTAGCAGCTGGCAGCATTGTTCTGTTCTTTGCACTGTCCCTCCGGGTGATTTTTGACTGCTTTGGGGTGATTTTCCAGGGTAGCATGGGGCTGGTGGCTAGCCAGCACAGCCCCCCCCTGTGCACTGCGGCAGCCTCTGAGCCACCTCCGTGTCCCCTCTTCCATGTCCCCCCCTCCATGTCCAGCAGCCAAGTGCCCCCAGGCTGGGTTCACTCCCCACGTTGAATTACAAAGAAAACACTTTTTTTTTTTTTTTTTTTTTTTTTTTTTTCCCCTCCCCCCTGCCCAGCCCATGCAATGCTGGCAGGACAGGGGGAGGTGACACCTGTGCAGGCTCAAGGACAAGAGCACAAAGGGCTTTTCCAACCCTGGACATCACTTCATGTCAAAAATGAGCTCAAAAGGCAAAAAAAAGAGAAACACCAAGTTACCAAGTACCAGCCAGTGCTGCCACAGCAGCGGGAGCTGTGAGACACCGTTGTCTCTTTGGGGACAGCCCTGGGGTGGTGGCATTCACCGTGGGGACAAGACTCACCCAACAGGTCCCAGCCGGACGCGTGCAGGGCCAGGGGGCTTTTTGCAATACCTGGACTTGAATTCAGTTTTGCTGCTGTTTTTGCCACTACTACTGATCGTGAAAAGAACCTCTCGGAAATCAATGTCTAATATATAGATATATTTTTTAAGATGCTGCCAATAAATGTTTCTGTGCTCAGTCCGGCAGGGCATCGAGAACAGGCAAATCTAATGCACCAGCCTCCCTTGGTGCCTGACCCTTTCCCCATCTGAAATCCTGAGGCTTTTCCTATAGCTTTAGCTTTATAGGATGGAACTACAATTTTATAGGATGCAACTACACTTGCACATATGCAGTTGGCATCCTGGTAAAGGCGGCTGCAAGGTGGATGTGGTTTTGGGCAGATAGGGCTGGCTCTGCCCTGTTAGCACCCATCAGCACCAAAGACAGCATTTCTTACCCCAAATCTGGGCCCCAAGACAGGCAAAGACACATTTTTCCCTCAATTATTGCAATGGGGAGGATGAGGCTTATCCTTGAGGCAACAGGGCAGGGGGACAAGAGCTGTGAGTCCCTTCAAAAGCTATTCTGAAGCAAGATGATGTTCATTTAATGTCAATTTTTGGTTTTAATTATGCTATTCAGCAGCAGGGGAAGCTGCTGGTGATGTCCCTCATCAAAGCCCTGGGGCGAGGGACCGGTGCCTGGCTGGGGGGACACCTGCCCAGCCTTTCGAGGTCCATTGCAAGAGGCAGAGAAACCTCAAAAGGTTATTTATTCCCCCAAAATTGGCAGCCACCCGTGTCCCTCCACTCGCCCCTGGGTTGGGGCTGGAAGAGGACGGTTTGGTCCTGAGCTGCAAGGGGAGGAGATGCTGTGGGTGCAGTGCACGCCTTCACCTCTTCTTCCCCGCAGCGGCAATACCAGTAAAGCCAGAGCCACAACCAGTCTCATCCACGCTCGCCAGAAGAGTGGCAGTCCTGAAGAGGGGCCATACAGCTTCGTAAAAGCCGGTGTCTGAGTAAGGAGGAAGGAGAAACTTCTTGTGCTCCTGCTCGGGTGTGAGGTTCAGCTCTGCAGAACCCTACGAGACAGCAGAGACTCCACGTGTCATCAAAAAACCCATTGATTTAAGACACTTTGCCAGGGGATGTGGGGTTTCGGCAACGTGGCTGCTCAGGGCTTGGACAGCTGTACTCATGCTGGGTAAAAGCTGTGCGGGAGGGCAGCCCCAAAGAGCGGTGTGACCTCCCATGTGGGACTGGTGTTCCCAGGGCTGGGAACTGGGGCCAGCTCTGTTTGATATCTTTATCTGTGATGCGGATGGGGGGATCGGGTTGGCAGGTGACACGGGGCTGTGCAGGAGGGGTGATCTCGTGGGGGCAGGAGGGCTCTCCGAGGGGTCTGGCCAGGCTGGGGCCAAGGGCCAGGCCCTGCGCTGGGCTCACAACCACCCCACACACGCTACAGGCCGGGGGCAGAGCGGCTGGAAGCTGCCTGGAGGAAAAGGACCTGGGGG